TTCTCTTTGCGGTTGTACCATTCATGTACACTTTGGGTGTCAGTAAGAAGATACTCGTCACGAAGGAGCGGTGTTGCAAGTTGTGTCACGTACGCGGCATTCGCACCAAAACCATGCGAGAAAAGTGCAGTATTTCAAACTACCAATACCCCAAGGCGCAGTACCGCATTCTGATGAGCCAGAATCGCTGCAAGATCGTTCCCAGCGTAGGCCAACTAGACTTACCATTGTCAACTTAGGCCCCAGACTATGTTTGCAACGATGAAGACGCTGGTTCGATAATTGGCGGGAGTTCGACTACTCTCGAAAGTCCTTATAAAACCACAACAGTTCTCCATGAGTTCAGATGGGAGACGGATATGTGGCGATTAATGGATTTACAAAGATATGGTTTTTCCCCCCTTAACGCCCTACTACTTGGAATTCAGGTCACATTTCAATCGAAAATTCTCCGGCGGAACATTTGACTAATGCCTTGGGGCCGATCTAACCTCCTACAAGCGAATAGTACACCGATCCAACCTCCTACAAGCGAATAGTACATCGAAGGAACTCCTGGCGCTCGCTCCTTTGACGTGGGTGCTGTAGTCCGGTTTTGGCATCGGCGCCCGTATCACGTGTATCAGACGGTTCCGTGCTCAGAGAATGTGATAATGGTGTCGAGGGTTCATGCTACTTACTTTTTTACTCCCCAATCAGCTGAACTCTCCGAGCCTGTAATCATTTCAGACTTTCAGGCATGTGAATACGATGAAAACTACACTATGACCAAATATGTTGTACAACGGATACTTGGGAGTAACCAGGTGAGGTATTCGTTTGAATGTCTACATTCAACTAAAATAGCTGTCTTTGGGAAGAAGGGCACAAGCAATACTTGTCGTTAATGAATCTCGTTAATGGAACTCTCACACTTCTTTCCTGCCTGGCTCGTTCTCTTTTCCATTTTCAGTTTGGTATTCTCACGAATACGAGTTCAGAAACAGAGCACATGGGATAATTCCATCGGGGATCATAACTGTTCGCAGGGAAGGAGTCGTCTGCGGCATTGAGGAAATTGGAAGCCATGGAATTTCCCCCACTTTCCACAAACGCCAGTGTTCAGGGAAACGTAAAATGTTCGGAAAGTTTGTGGAGTTGAGAGCATTTGGAAAGGAAAGGGTCGGATAGAGAATGGTGGTGGGAGGGGTGTCGTAAGCTTGCACTGGAGGAGTAAATTTCGTGAGTCGTACTGATCTTGCCACTTTATCCATTCTGATGCTATATCCTGTTCACAAAACAACGACATTGCTACTATATATTCAGGACCGCGATCCCAGAGGACGACAAACAGTGCTAGCGGGCAGTATTCAGGAGATTTGTCGAGCCTGGGGACGTGAAGCCAAATATGATGAATGCCGTAAGGAAAGAGCTCGAAAACAGTGCAAACGTCGACTTTCCGATGAAATAGCCGAGTATGAGTATTACGACGTAACGTTCCCTTTGTGAGTGGAAAACTTCTTTCTGAATATTTCCTCTTTTCTATTGTAAACATACAGACCTCCTAGGCTGAAGATGATGCTGTTGCTACGATTCCGTAATTAATTGGAGAGGTGGTCATTATGACATCGTTTGCGAAAGGAAGGTTGGACGAAACATGCAAAAAAAGACCTTGTTCCTGACACGCGCAAGCAAAGTTCACTTCAGACAGAGTAATATGGTCCAAAGAAATCCTAAGAATATTTTTGCGATGCTTTTCTTCAGAGAAGAGCAAGCTCTCTGTCACTGCTGCCCTTGTCACGAGAAGGTGAAGGTGTAGACTGTAGCCGTCGGGCTCTAAAATAATTGCAATGCTCGCGTTAGGTTGAATCAACTATTCCGCGATTGGGTCATTTGTGAGGGGTTCCTAGGGACTGTCATCGTCGCAATCAGTCGGAGCGGTGTCAGGAGAGGCAAGATGAGCCTCTTCTACCAATAGTGATCGGTTAATATCGATCTAAAATAACCAGGTGAAAAGGCCGCGTGTGCGAGGGGGGGGGAGCTCATTTCACGTCTGTTGACACCGCCCCGGCTGAATGCGACGATGTCAGTTGTGCAAGACACCAGACATCCTATAAACGTCGAGGTTTACAATTTGCTTCTCACGACACGACCCTGCCAAGGAATCTGACGATACAATGATTGAAGCCAGTTCGCGATGTCAATGTCCAGACGTCCCTTATGCAGTTATTTTGCGCGAAACAAATTGGCGCAGTTCAGCTACAGGAAGTCGGGGTTGTCTTGCATATCTGCTGTTTCCCATCAGACCACTGCCGGTTCTTGTAAAGAGCACCTGTCAACACTTGAAGCGCGGTGAACTAACACCATTTAAGATGGCGGTCGACGAGGTTGCTCCAGCTTCATAAGAGCTCATAGCTTTCACCAGAGTGAGACTTGTAAACCGGAAACCCGTCGCTGAAGTGCGTCAACAAATGTTACGGATACGTTACATGAGCGAAGCGCCTGTTTCTTTTCCGCGCCTCCCCCCTCTTCTGAATACGTAATTAAAGCTGAACTGGTTGACTGGAATGTGGTCAGTAGAAGCAGATTGCAACGAAAGCCAGATATTCGAGGAAGTGTTTGACGGCTGGCAGTGATTGCGGGCAGGGCACGCGCTCCTGTAAATACCATCGCTAGATTTCTTCTAGTGATATGGCGAATGTTTTCATTTAGATATCGATTAGATGAACAAGCGTGTAAACGCTAGAAGAAGACATAGATGAAAAATTATCGATCACAAAAACCGTGCCTGTACAACTTTTTCGCACGGAATAACGGGATAAATTGAAGCTGTGACACCCACCTGGGACAAATCGACCTCATTTTTGTAACCCTGAATCCGTATTACCGTACGCGTGCTGCGCTCCAAGACGCTGAATGAGGAACTTGACCACCAATTTGAGCGGTGAAAAATACAGTACGGACCGCAGCTACATTGTCCGAAAAGTTGGATGGCTGGCGCCTTGAGCTCGATGACAGCGGTGCATGGCTTCTCCTTTCTTGCCAGGGTCGAGGCTGTAGTGGAGGGCTTGCTTGTGCTCATGCAGGAACGCTTGAGTAATAGGTTATCCTCGATTTTCCATGTTCCCTGCGGTGGTTCTGAGCGACATGAAACATTGACATGGTCCGAGCACCTTACCCCCTCCCTTCCTCCTCCAGGGACGGCTCCAAGGTAATCGTAATTTGTCACGCCATGGTTTGCTAAGGTTTCCTGAAAGATTCAGAGACTTTGATTGAAACTCGTGGAAAATGTTCCGGTAAAGCGGCAGAGACTGCCCCCCCCCCTCCCCTCACTCCCAACTGAAACTATCCAATTATTTCATGTATGGACGATTGTTCTTCACTGTACGGAAGTTTATGATTTTAGCACTCAATGCAGTGACTCGTTTCGGGTCACTCTGGGTTTTTTGTATAGGTCAAAATGCATATTTTGCAGGAAAAAGTTGAAAGACTCTCAGAATGCCTGTGAAACGCCCAAATGTGTACTATTCAATTATTGCAAAGAAGTGCATGCTGGAAAACCTGTCTATGCATCAGTAAGTTGGATGGATCTGTACTGACCAAAAGATTCCTTGCTAGAAGAAATGCTGCAGTTTTTCTTGCTATATTAGGGTCCCTTTTCTCAAAGCCAATTTCATTCTTCGTGGAATCTACTTGTATGCTTTTTGGGTTGTGGTGGTAAAGTTGAACGAAAAATAAGGTGCTTATAGTTAGTTTCAGCAGGGCAGGTTCCTAATAGGAACGAATTCCTGCGGGGCGGGGGGAGTCGGTGGCACAGATAGTCAAAAAAGGGGGATGCGTAATTTGCAAAACACTCTGCTAACGGCAGGGACGTGCCAATTCCCGGAGTCTGGTCATCCTCCTGAGCCAACAACTAATTCCATTTCCTGGAACTATTAATTGACCATTCTTGTCTGGGAGCATGAAAACATCGAATTTCTGCATCGGCTTGCAAAATGTTGTAGGCCAATGTCACGTTCGGCGGAACCACTCTAGGTGTTTAATCGAAGCAAGAGATGCGTTGGGCGGCAATCCAAAAAGCGCGCGTCAGCGCAGAGACATATTTTCTTGGCTCTGTTTCTGCACCCTTTCTGTTAATCAAATCCCTCAACTCCTCTCATTTCCAGTTACCCCTTACCTCCTTCTTTGATATAACTATGAATTTACAGCATCAGCGCGCCCGAAATAACACGGGTTGAAGGCGTGTTGAGGTGCTTGGGAAGAAATTCCGATCACGTAAGGGACAACCCAATATACGGATGGCGGAGCAGGTAGGACCCAAAGTGCTTGATCCTTTCTGAACAGTTCCATGATCCCTGGAAAATTTTGATTTTTTTTTAGGTAGCAGCCTTAGCCGCACTAATTGGATTGAATTTGAGGCATCGATTAAAAGGAGAATGGGAGGAATAGGCGACAAGCTTCATCCTCCCGTTTCATTCCCAAGACGTCCATCAATCAATAGGTGTACACCGAGCTTCCTCTCTTCTCTCATGTGCTGTGATGAAAACAGTAGGATCGGAGGCGATGTTGATATTTTTCGCCGTGGTCAGGGGGACGCGCCTCTGACTCCAGGAGCAGTCTATAAATTGTTGTTTTTGTTGAACCGCTGCGTTGCGCAGAATGAAATATTTTATTCCGTTTGTACTACTATTGGTAGTCTACACCGTTTCCGCAATAAAGAAACCTACATGTTATACTAGTCCTGATAAATGTGTACCATCAACGGCAGCTGTTACAGGTACATTTACAATTTTCCGCCTTAAATTTGTATAGTTGGGGGGGGAGGTACCGTACCGGTCGAAGCGTCAGGTAAAGGGGTCCATTTGTACATACGATCTTGATCCTTGCAAACGATTGGGCCTGTGAGGCGGCGCGTATTGGAGCGCAGGCAAGGCAGGGCACATCACTTGGTTGGGATTTCGCGTTCGAGTCCGTCGACCCCCCCCCCCTCCCCTTCAGGCCTCCGGGCCCCTCATCGAATCGAGCCGTCGAGCGGAGGGGAAGTACAATACGAATCAGAAAATTCTACGAAATGTCAAACCACCATACCCACAGCAGAAAGTAAATAGACTCCCCCCCCCCCACCTCTCCCTCTCCCTCCCAACAATGAGCAGTACGACCCTCCCCCCTTTACAATGTCCATGAAGCGAGAAAATCAACTATCAAAATAAATTTTTCTCAGCCCAAATACGACCCCCTCTCCTGGCGACCAAATACGACCCCCCCTATTGGGGATTCCCCAACAACGATGTGCCCTGAGCAAGGATGCTCTTCTTCCTATAATGATTTGCATTCCTGATTGCATCGCGCTGCAACTTTTGGAAAATCAGATCCGGCTGCGCTCCAGGCCATGTCCCTGTCCGACGCCCTATCATTTGCAGGGACCATGACTGCACGTTTTGGCTACGTTAAGTCCTACTCCATCATAGGGGCTGCGCCACCTCATAGTGGCCAAGCGATCGCGTGGAAACTCGGTCCTTGGGTTCCTACTAAGCACGCGTACGGCAGAACGCCTCCACATAATGCACGACAGCGACTGTTGTGTAGGGGCAAGTGGAGCCACTTACCATGCCCATGGTCTGGGAGTCAGGTCCCGTATCAGTTCCAGCAGTGGCCAACTAAGCTTTCCTTGTACTGCTCGCTCTGTGAGGGTGAGGGGAGAGGGGGGGGGTGTTTCCGAGTATACCGCTTTTCTATTCTGAATTGCCTGCCTAACTTACACGTCTCAACCTTGGTCACACCTGTACATTCTTGTCAACGGTAAACGAAGCTCAAGTATTGCATAGCTTCGCAAAAGTTGACAGGTCTCCACAGGGGTGTAGAATGATCGATAGGAATCAGCAAAATACTCCCTCCAGGCAGTACTGCGCCCATCTCAGTAGTCCCGAATGGGTTAATTGGGGACAGAACTCGTTTTGGAGGATAAAAAACAGTGGTTAGGGCCCATGGGCACACTGCATTTAAGATGTCACTACGATTTTGGATCACAGTCGGATACATGGCTTATTCTGAGAAGAGACTCGTAAACACTGGGAACTTTGTCCTCACGGCATGTCTATACGTTCAAGGCTAGAGCGTTGGTGCACTGATGACAAGTTCGACTAGCCGAAAACCATTCTGCTGGATCACCATCACCGCACCACAACACCCGTTACCCCCGCCTGCCCACCATCACGACCGCACTGAACGGCTTTGACCTGAGCCCCACACCACCCCCGTTCCGACTAGACAACCAAACCACCCCTCTGCGATCACCCATACTACCACCTCACCGCTTGTGTATTCAGAATCTCCTAGATACTGACGTTGTCTCATGTGATCGTGTAACATCAGGTGCTAGGCACCAAGCCGAGTGGTCTGTCCACCAACCACGATGTCTCGCGTATCAATCAATCCCGCTGAAGCCGGACGGAAAGATGTCTGGGTCTTGCGCCTGTGACCAGGAACCATGTTCCCCCGTTTTTCACTGGCGGCGAATATTTTGATTCAGGGAGTTCTTTTAAGATGGAGAACTTGGTTATTTTCTAAGTTCCAAAGGGATGGTGATACTACTTCTCTCTTCTCCACCTTCCTGTAACCTCAGCATGTTAGGTGCAGGTCTTTGATTTGTTTGGTGCTATACGAGGTTGTTTGGTGAAACTTCCATTCAAAATGGCCTAACGTTAACTAAACCGTCGACTTCGGAGGCCGATGTCCTACCGTTTTCAGCGAAAATGTCCGAAATGAAGCGAGAGTCAATTGTTATTCATAGACCATAATCTAAAACTTAATCTAGCTCAGCGAACATTGTCTCTTGGACGATAGGACCGCCGGCCTCTGAAGACGATGAATGAGTTGGTACCTTGAACCATCTTGGATAGCGGTTCTAATGAGCGACCTTGCACTGCACAAAAGAAAGGAAAGAAGACAATAATCGCAGTTAGAATAGTTCAAGAATGATAAATTCGTACTGATCGTATGGGTGTCTGTAGTGTAGTGATGTCCAGATGCTCACGTATGCTGTCTCCAAACTGCGCTCGCTGTACTACACGGCTATCCAGGCGCCTGACAATAGCCAACGCGCTACTCACTTTTCCTCGCTATCCTCCCCCTTCTGGTTGTTCTCCAGCCCTCAAATAGGTGTTCGCTGGCGGGCTTTAGTATCCTGACTAAGTAACTGCTTCGTGAGATAGTACGGACGGAAACGGAGACAGCCTTCGCGAGTTTTCACAACCGTCCAACCCCACTCGCCCTGCATTTGGAGCGGGTAAACCTCGGGCACGCCTACCGCCAGAAAGCGGCATCGCATTTAACCCTCAGCCTGGAAAGGACTCTTTCTCGAAGGTGAGATTTAGTATGTCCTTAAAATGGTAAAGAGGAGGGCTCTAATGAGGAGGGCGCAATAGTCGGCACCCATACGATCAGTACGAATTACATACTTCGACATCTACTGGCCCGACTTATTGTCTCTTCCTATTCTTTTGTGCGAGTGCAAGGTCGCTCATTGGAAGCGCGCCATCCAACGATGTTCAAGTACCCACTCATTCATCGTCTTCAGAGGCCGGCGGTCCTATCGTCCAAGAGACAATGTTCGCTGAGCTAGATTAAGTTTTAGATTATGGTCTATGAATAACAATTGACTCTCGCTTCATTTCGGACATTTTCGCTGAAACGGTAGGACATCGGCCTCCGAAGTCGACGGTTTAGTTAACGTTAGGCCATTTTGAATGGAAGTTTCACCAAACAACCTCGTATAGCACCAAACAAATCAAAGACCTGCACCTAACATGCTGAGGTTTACAGGAAGGTGGAGAAGAGAATATTACACCATCCCTTTGGAACTCAGGAAAATAACACAAATTCTCCATCTTAAAAGAACTCCCTGAATAAAAACAAGTTCTCACCCGTGCACTTTTGACCAAGAAACGCGACTGCAGCTGCGAAACCATTCACCCACACATAGGTAAGACCAGGACTCGCGGAGGTGAGCCCACCTTCTGCCCTCAGAGTTCATTTCTGATTGTCATCACTCAGTTTATGTTTCGTTGGCGAAACCTTAGTATCGACGCAAGCGCTGCAGATGGAGGATAGCGCGAGCAGTGTGCAGAGACGGCCCAACTCTTCTCTCTCTCTCTCTCGTCTTCTTCGCCGGTATCGATCTCTCTCCTCTCCTCTCTTTCTACACTCTCCCCTTTTTCCATCAACTCAGTTCGTTAATCAGACGCCATTTCGAGACCTCCTACAAGGAGATGGAGTGATCAATGAGACAAAGGAAACTGCAATCTTAGCAGGATGTCCATGTCGGTGATGGCAGCGGTGAGAATGACTTCCCACGCCACCGTAATGTGGTTTTTGCGTGACACATTGATATTGATCTCCTGACCACACTCGCAAGGGCCAAGGGTGAAGGAACATACACTTTATCCCCAAGACAGAGTAGGCGTGGCATTTGAACATTGCACGGGACTGGATTGCTCATGGAATATTTCAGTCTGGGAGCAACTGTAATCCTTGCTCTCTATGTTGGACAGAGACACGACAACAATCGTGTCAGGATGAAAAAGCTCTCCAGAAGCATAAACACCTTCAAGTTAAGTTGGAACATGCGGCCACGCCTACTCGATCTCAGGGATTTCGAGTATATGTACAGTCTTGTTCGGCCTGCACAGACGCTGGACCGTCCAAGGGGATGTTTTTGGGGAGAGTGACCAGCCCTTTCTTCTCACCAGCTCTGGAGTACATATTAAGCGAGCTTAGAATGATATAGAGAACAAGATGGCGCTGCGCCGACGGCCTGCCTCAGTGATCATGCAAATACACAGCCCTTACGTTACGAGGACAAGAGAGTAGGTAGCCAGTACCGTCTCTACACCTCTCCATATCTCGTGTTTCGCACATGCTGCTGCGTCCCTCGGGGAGCAACTTGCTCAAGTAGGACACCGCGCCGCCATTTTTCTCCTCCAGGCGACTCCATTCCACAACCAACGCAGTTCATCCTTAGCCAATATTTTCCTGAAAACGCGCATCTTACCAAAAAAGAGTACTCCAAGTACGCTAAACATCAGTACTTTTGTGGCGCCTATGACTCGTTATAGGGAGAGAGGAGAGATGAAAGAGAAGAGAGAGAAGAGAAAGAGACAGAGAGTGCGATGAAACGGGGAAAACCACTATAAGAAAAGATAGCCCTATAGAAAAGAAGTCCTAAGAAAGAAAGACTTCGCAGGTTAAATACGTCCCCTCCCCTCCTCTACAGCGACCAGAAACGACCCCAGCTGGGGATACCCGGCATACGACGCACACTGTTTCCTTTACAGGAATCCGATGGAAGGACTGCACTGAGTACTGCAGGAAGTGCAAAGGTCGTGAACACGGCAAATGCCATAAGGTACACAAGGCCGACTGCAACGGAGGATATCATTGCATGTATGTAAACCGGAATTTCCTTATTTTCCCTGCTCATCCCAGAACTATATTATCTTCCAGGTGCCTAGGCAAACATGTGAGCAAGTCAGAAGTTCTCAAGGACGCTGCAACATGTCGCCTTGGTTTGTAAGGAGAAAGCAAAGGAATGCTGTTTATTGCACATTAGAAATAAATATTACTGTAAAAGAGGCACATAATAGGTGTATGGCAGCAATCTGGCCAGTTGCCAGTCTAAACAGCATCCCCCTTCTCGACAGGAAAGGGTGTGCTAACCACTTCGTGACCCGCAGCCACAATGATTACGTCGTCTTTTGGTCGATCGCCCGAAGCCTTTGGTACGGTCTCAATCGCTCGCACCACGTCCATTCCTGACAGCACCTGAAAAAAAACTGAGTTAGTTTCAATCACAAAAATTTTCTAAGAAGAATTAGGTATTTCCAAATCTCTTTTAGCTTGAGAACCCCATTTATGGTAAAAGCTCGCAAGCGCGGACCTTCTCTCCCGTTCTCAGGAGGCGGTCAAGACATTCGTAATCCGCCACGTCGTCGCGCGCGGCATATTGTGCGGCAATGGGAGCGACACTTGAGTAAGACGCCTCACAACGACAAGAAAGCTAATATCCTCAACTTGATCTTTCCTGTTCAGGTGGTCTATAAGATAGAAATAACTGACTTAGAAATACCGTATTTCAGGCAGAACTGCCCACTTGCCGCATTTGGCACGCGACATTGGTAGTTCGGCGACGGGGCATTTTGCACTTTTGCTACTTCCCATCTAGAGAACTATTCCATGAGCTTACAAGAGTTGTGGTCACCACAGCTGTAGCAGCGAAAGTGCAATAATCCCCGCACGCGCCGTCAGTAAAATCCGCGACATTTACCACGCCTCAGTGAGCGCGGCTTGTTGCGATCGGTCTTGTCACAACTTCCGCCTTGCGCTCCTCCAACTACTCTTCCGAGTGATGGCAGTATCCCAATATTAATCAGAGCACGCTTGATCGCCATATTTGGCATACAATCAACAATTCACCTTTAGCATAAAAGTTTAATTTCACTAAACGAAAAAACACACGTCACCCTTCTCACCTTTCCAAACACCACGTTGCCGATTCCATCCAGGGCCAAGAGTTTTTCTTCAGCAGTTATATGAAAAATTGACTGCCATTTGTGTCCTTTCCAGCGTTTGCCATCGATACCCAACCAGCTCCATAATGCTTTAGCTTGAAATTCTCATCAGGGAATTCTCACCAGGCGTAAATAGGACTCTTTTCAATATATCACTGTTAAAAACTTAGAAAGGGAGGGGGGGGGGCATTAAAAATTAATATAAAGAAAAAGAAAAAAAAGAATATAATAGTCAAAAGCAAAAGTACATTAAAAAAGAATAAATAGGATATACAAAATAATTAAATCAAAAGAGAGATAGAAAAAAGACAAGACATAGAAGACAGGCCTTATGGTGCTATTGTTTCTCCGAATTTCAGAGGCGCTATCACCAGTTGGCACTTTATAAACTCGATTGACTGTTCTATACATCGATGTTCGACAGCACTTTGTACACATCAACGTACTCGCGTACAGCCTCTGACGAAGGCCAATCAAGAGATTCTGCCATGCGAAAGTGATTCGGTGCCTGAGTTCAGTGAGATCGTTGATTTCTCCGCCTCTGTAGACCCTGTTGAGCTCCGCTCGAACCTGGTAATCGAGGCGCTTTAGATCAGGTGACAACATAGAAATTCTGTCTTCTTCAGGCTCTCAACGCCCTTCGATCCCTTCTGCTGGCACTCAGTCCTGTAGCAGTACGAAGTTTCCAAGAGGTTACACGTCACGCGGTGCTGTTATAGGCATGACGACATTGGGAGGAAGGATGTTCTCGCCTCGAGTTGATCGCGATGTAACGTCAGCGCTTCACTTCCAGTTTGAGACACTTCCACGAAGAAAATATCGGTCTATCCAAAGAACGCTCTGGTCAATACCATCAACCCGCGCCTTGGCGACTGTGGTAAAGATGATATCCTAGACCGTGACGACGTTGTCGGAGCTGTTCGATGTTGGAGGTCTTCCAGATCAGGAGTGTTGGTCCCCAGGTAGCTGTCCATGGGTGACTCCATACAAGAAGTTCGCAGCTGTTTGGAGGTGGGCGTGAAAACAAATATCGATGTGGAGATGTATTTATGTTTCGGCCTACATGAGGGTGAGGGACGAGAGCCTGCTCCTGCTTACTGAGGAACATCTCGGGTATCTACGCCCTGATACTCGTATGCACGTCTTGTATCTGGGCTGCCTAAACTTTACTGATATGTGACTCGACCAAAGTGTCTTTTTTCATGGGCTCCCTGTACATAATCATGAACACACCAATTAATATAAGGAAGTCATACGTGGCTCACTTTTAGATGAATTATGCGTATCATTATGAATACAGTTAATATATAAACATGCGTACCTCCACCCAGTTTCATTCAGCCTGTTCGTGCGAAATCTCCGCTGAATCATAAACTTACAGAATGACCGATGAACTTACTACCGAAACATTATTCCTGTCACAGCTGAAAAATAGGAAAATGAATTCATTACCCAACTTCTGGGAGGGAAGAATGGAAGAGCATCTTCAGAATAAAATAAATAAGGAATAAAAAAAATGAATACCTTTGGCTTTTTAGCCAGTTCAATGAAGTTCTTTGCAGTTTTCGGTACCGTCTTGCCAAACAAGCCAATCACAATTCTACCCATTTGCTGGCCATTTGATTCGATGTCAAACCAGACCTATGAAACTTGAGGATGAAGCCTTTTTATGATGCGCAACACGTTCCACTTACATTAGTGGCTTTTTGAATGCGATTCGGCCTATACAATATCTGCGAAGAGCTCAAGTCCACGCATGCGGCAGTTCTTCGAGTCCGAGTTTTATCCTCCCCAGACGGGCTCCCACCAAATCAGTCAGTCTCGACGGAAACGGAAAGGCTTAGGTAGTTGTCAATTAATCTGGCGCCCCAAGCATGGCATGCGCTCATTTACCACGACACCGCATGTGTACACCTGTGACGAATCGCGTGTAGAACTAGAATTATATAGACGGTCCAAACGAAGCATGCCCATCTTCCCCTGCCCATAAGTGTGGAGGACAGGACGACAATCGACCAGGTGCTGCACGTCCACAGTATTGCGAAGCAGGACACGCCGTACGTTGAGCATCCCCAGCAAAGGGGAGTGTCACTGTATAGAGTGAATCGTTTTTTTGAGAAGTCCCTTCTCCCTCCCACCCCCGTTGCCGGGTCGACGTCAGTTTTTTTTTGGAAAGGGGGACTTGAAGACTCTTCAGAAAAAAAAACTCGTTAAACGTGGCAGGAAGCTGGGGTAACTTAGGAAGATGTTAGGTAGGACGATTGGGTATGGGGAGTCGCACCAGGACAAACTTTTGAGGGATGGAGGGGTCGTGGTCTTGCAAAAATTTTCTCCAACAGCGCCCTGTTGCGGAAGAAAAGGCTAAACCCCACCCTTCACCCTTAGGACTAGTGTACCGGTCCTATCTCATCCTCGACCTGGAAACAATAAGAGTATTGCAGAACATTGAAAAAGCAACACCTTATCTGTGACTTTTGGTCCTTTCGGCTTCGTGTCCGCAGTCGTATCCGCAGCAGCAACGAAGGCAGTGCACGTCACGAACCACACCAGCCGGTTCATACCTGCAAATTACCGTAAAAACCCACAACCGCATACTTCTATATACATGAACGGCATCGATCCAAGTTTGCTGGAAATCGACGCATGGCCGTTTCCCCCCAATTTTTGAAGAGTTTGTTGCGAACTTCGAGTTCCATAACTTTTTTCAACTTTGTTGCTTTCACATCACTCTTCACAGAACGTAACTACTCATATACAAGCATCTATGCACCGACACATCAAGCTTCGTCCCCTTGGCCACGCCCACTTCCCCTATTTTTGTGAAATTTTGATCCTTTTTCGAAATTTTTACATTTTTGGACTGTGATAAAAGCTCCGCCCACTTTGTAGAAGCCCCACTCACTTTTGAAAAGCGAAGCAGATTGGCAATTTAGTCTGAGGTGGATGTTATGGTCTCGCTCGTTGGTCGGAACAAACCGCCTGGTTTTTCGATCCGAGTGGCGACTGAGACCTTAACACGTTCGCGGCGGCGTGTACTCCCGGGAGTACACGAAAAAACTCCGCTTTCGGCGAATCGTGTACTCCCGGGAGTACACGCGCCTATTCGCTCGTTTTTGTCATTTCTTTTACTTTTTCACCAAGAATTGGATACAGATAATCAAAGAAGCAATCGAGAAACAATATTCACACATTATTAGAGGCGTATACACCCGAAAAAACACTTAAAAACTTTTCTCTTCGGGCGGATCGTGTATTCCCAGGAGTACGCGCGCCTCTTCGCTCGATTTTGCTATATATTTTCTTTTTTTGCTGATAATTATAAACAGATAATAAAACAAACAATAGATAAATAATATCCACACATCAAAAGAGGCGTGTACTCCCGAAAAAACATGCAAAAACTTTTCTTTTTGGCCAATGTCGTACTCACAGAAGTGTACACGCGCAACTTCTTGTATTCACTTAATTTTTTATGATTTTTATCCTCTTCTTTTCACTGACAGTTGTATACAAATAATGAAATAGACGACATAGAAGTAATATCAAGAGGTATTAGCATCAACATTAGATAACACACATTAATATTAATATTGATATTAAGAAGATATCAACATCTTCTTTGTCCGGTTCCAGCCAACTTCAAAGGGGGGCAAGAAACCTAGTTCATTTACCGAAAATCAGATAAAATCTGTAGAAGGGAAAAAATGTAAAAAGGATGGCAAAAAAGACTTTAGTGAGTTTTGACAAAGTTATATCCGTCGCGAGCGCGCTGAACCATAAACGGGACGATTGCCTAAGTGTTGCCTGCCGCGAACGCGTCGCTCGAGAAACGAGAGTTTTTGGCGAAACGCCGCCGCCGCGAACGTGTTAACATGCAAATTCAGATTCTAAACTGCCATTCTGCATCATTTTTAGAAAGTGGGCATGGCTTCTACAAAGTGGGCGGAGCTTCCCATGGCGAGCGAGGTTCCTGTAGCAGTCCAGAAATGTGAAAATTCAGAAGAAGGATCCAAATTCTACAAAAATATGCAAAGTGGGCGTGTCCAAGAGAGTGATGCTTCACTTCTCGGTGCAAAAATGCTCGTCTATGAGTACCTCCGCTCTGTGTAGAGTGAATGTGAAATTAACAATGTTGAAAAAATTTACGAAAATTCGAAGTTCGCAACAAACTCTTTGAAAAATGGTCGGAGTCAGCTATGTGTCATGTCCATTCCTTTCCAGTCAAAGCACGTGCAAAACAGCAAAAGACAAATAATGTCATTGAAGCAGACTTTACCGTCGGGGGGGGGGCACATGATGCTGTCTAGTGTGATCTGGTTGACTAATTGTACGGTCTAAAAAGAGTGGTGATTCTTGGTTTGAAAATTGGTGAATTTGGTTTGAAAAATGGTGAATTTAAAGTGGAAATGGTAGGCGTGCACATCTTCAATTCCGGCCCGGGCAGGGTTAGAGGTTAGGGGGTGTGGGACAAAATTGTTGACCATTTTGCAGATAAGTAGGAAAAGGGGAAGTCAACAACCTGGGAAGGGGTATCTAGCCTTGATAGGAATTTTTCCGACAATAGAAAAGAATTTTTATCGTCAGAAAAATTCCTATCAAGGCCAGATAATACCCCTTTCCCCAGAGACCAGGTACGATTCTCCCCCGATGGGACCTCCCCCCTAAAAATGCTGCGTCCTGTCTACAACGCTGCACGAACGTAAAGTTTAAGTGAATAGTCAGTTTCCATCATTACACACAGCAGAATCAAAAACACAGACGAAGCCACATGCGCTTCACTGTAACTCTCAGAAAAACGAATAGAACTTGTGGTATAAATCAGTGACGAGTGTGAGAAGACGACTATGTATAGTCAGCATTCAAGCTGTGAAAACAACCATTCATGGAGAGACACGCTCCATGGGAACGCAATGTTTTGAGTGTCACAATTCGTATTTGATTCAAAGCATTCCAGTGATTCCAAAGAGAAGTAAAACATCTGTAAATGAAGTCGTGATCTGATTGCTGTACACAAAAAAATATCGAGGTTTTTACAGTAGTTCTCTGAGCTCTTCTTGAACTGAATCTTTTTGTCGCAGTTTGTTCGTGGCCGTGACTTATTGGCTCCAATTCTTTGTTAATTTTTTTGCACTCACAGATGAGATCAGAGCCAAACAACTGTTGGCTTGGGGATTACCGAGTTCGTAATACCCCACCCCTTTTTTTAGAGGATTGCCTACACCCCCTCCCTCGGTTTCCATCATTATCGACGGAGGGGGGCGGCGGGGATCTAGACACACATGAAACAAAAAATGCAAATCACGAAACGTTCAAGGAGACAACCTTCTCAGAAGGTAAGGAGATACGCCCCAGTGGACATTACTAGGTTGGAGATTTGGTCGGTCGTACGACCCCCCCCCCCTCCTCCGGCCTATTCCCTGTATCGAGATGTCGAGGCAGGGGAAGGGAGTAACTAGCACCATTGAAAGCTGGGAAAAGCCGCAGAGAAAAATGCACCTCCCCCTCTCCCCATTGCTACCAGATCCGCAGATTTTCTTCAACTATACCTTCCGCTTATTCTAAAAATACAATTTCAGGCCGAATGAAACCCAAACACGACCGCCGGTTGGCGGATTCCTAACAAATGATGCACCTGAACAGGCCCCCCCCAACAACGAACAAATGATGACCCCCCTCTCCGTTTACAACGTCGTGAAAACAAGAACAAAATAAACTAACAAAATGAATTTTTTCCCAGCCCAAATACGACCCCCCCCCTTGGGGATACCCAGCAACGATGTGCACTGATAGGAACACGTTATAAGGGCATGTGAAAAAAGCGATGTCACTAGCAATAAGACCGCCACGAAAGCAGGGCCCTGTTGCGATCCTCGACATATCCTCCCGTCCCATCGCACGGATCGATTCCCTCAAAATTTCACAGTAGAGCGGGAAGATAGGAGTGCGGAAGAAGGGGCGTCTCAGGGCACTTGTCAACCGAGGAGCCTCTCCTCTCTTTCCTTTTTTCTTCCTCCCTCCTTCTTTTCCTTCCTTCCTTCTCTGATCCCTCCTCCTTTACCTTCTCCCTTCAACTACTGGACTGGTAGATGCCTCGTGAAACCCCTGGACCCTCGCAGCGAGAGCAGGTCTGGTTGACAACAGCCCCGTAACCAAGGAGGGGGAGGCAGCTCATCTCGCGCGGGTATTCGTAGCTTGGGAATGGATCCTCGAGTGAAATTCGAAATAGACGCCATGTTCGACTCTCAATGAACCTCGGCATGTTGATAGATGATTGTTTCTTCAATTGAACTGCACTCGAGGTTTTCAAATAACTTTATTAGGCTGACGTTTCGGTGAGATCACCTTCTTCGGAGCCTGAAAAGGGTGGAAATCAATTTATGATCTATTCGACCAAATGCCTTGCCCCCTTACAGAGACCTTCGACCCCATCCTAGCCATCACGTAACCAATCAGGAGAGAGAATTACCGTACCTGCCAGATCCACTAGGTCGGCTACGAGTAGCACAGTCCAGGGAGCTGGGAAGATAATACATGGAAAAGGAGGAAGGGGTTCCACCAGGAAAGTTGAGGGTGTGGGGGTGTGGAGTGTAGGGACGTGTCAGCAGGGGGTGACAAAATAACTGACTGCCCCCTCCCATATGATCAGCGCGAAGTGTACCTCCAAATCGACTGATGTTACCACAGATTTGCCCCTGCTCTCTCGCTGACGTTTTTTTTGGAAAAAAGGGCGATTGTCTACTGGAATTCCCCGGAAAAAATTGGCAGGCCAGTGAGAAAATTAGACAGCATGGGTAGATAGAATGGGAAGAGGTCGAACCAGAGAATTTTAAGGACTATTATTTTCGTATTTTGCTAAAAAATTCTCCAACGAAAGGATTATCCGGCACAGATCACAGATAGAGGGGACACTCCACCCTCCAGGGGCTAGATGACACAAGATTCAAAACATACGAAGATTGAAAGTATCTCTCCTAGGAGCACTGGCATCGCCTACGTTTAGGGGAGTACGCAGCCACGCCTACCGCATCTCAGGGATTTCGAGCGTATTTATCGACAAAGTTATCAACAATTTGTTACCGTTTACCGTCAGCCTGCACCCCTAACCTTTTCTTCTAACACACTCATTCAAGCATGAGAGCTGCCCGGGCAGGAATTAAAGAGGTGCATGTATTCCATTTTCCATTTGAATTCATCACTTTTCAAACCAAATTCAGCACACTTTTTAGACCGGGCAATTCATCAACCAGATCACGCCAGACACCACTGCGAGCCCCGCCCCGACGGCCACGCCTACTTGTCAGCGCGGACATAAATTTTCAAATTTGTTTCATAACTTCTGCTCCTGTGACTTTTTTGTCTTTTGCTGTTTCGCAAGGGTCTGACTGGTTAGAACTGGGCATCGACACATGGCTGATTCCGCCCATTTTTTTGAAGAGTTTGTTGCGAACTTCGACTTCCAGAGTTTCTTTTCAACTTTTTTAATTTCACATCCAATTTTCACAGAACGGGGCTATTCCTAGACGAGCACTTATGCACCGACAAATTGAGCTGCGCTTCCT